CAGCGCGATCCAAGGATCGACGACAGCTCAGACAGCGAGGACGGAGCTGCTGTACTCCAGGCTCTCTCCACCCCGGCCAGCCGCCAACAAGAAGATGCCAAGAGCCCCACTTACCCAGCCAAAACGAAGAAGAGTAGCCCGGCGTCGTCCGTGAACTAATGGAGCGACGATAAAACTCCTCCTGTTGTCACTTGTCCTCGGTTCCATGAGGCATTCAACTCATATAATGATCTCGAAGCTGTATTTGCAAGGTAAGCAGTGTCTATGCCTTCATTTTGCTTCTATCTATCTAACAAATACGTTTGTTATGTAGCTACCAGAGCGACACGCTTCAAATGTACAAGCTCCGCATGTCGAGTTCAATCAACCATCGGAACCGGAGCCGGATCAAACAGGCTGCGAAGCGAGGCAGTGAGCCCACGCTGTGGGATGAATCGCTTGGTTACTACACAAGGACATGGAATTGCACGCATTCGAGATCCTACGCATCCCGAGGATCAGGAGCCCGCCAAAAACCACACCACCCGCCGCATTGAATGCCCAGCTAAACTTCATGTGCTGCTGTCTGAAGATGGAAGTGGTGATTACCGTGTATCTGTTCGGAGGCACGAGTCGACCCATAATCACGAGATCGATGAGAACATCTTCAACACTTACGACGAGACGAAAGTAATTACTTCCCCGGGGACTTGGAATGTCGTACGGACGTTACTGCGACGATTTTAGCATTTAAAGACATATCCTAACGTTTAGATCCGTGGAGATGCAGGGTCAACGTGAACATTTCAGTCTAGAAGACGACCCCAGGCTAGATGAAACGGTGCCGGCAAGTACTCAAAACCCCACCAGCAGCGCTAAGTGTAAGCTTGATTTGGGTGACAGCAACACCAATGTCAGTACGATGACATGCTCCGACGAGAAGCCAAGAGCACCACCAGTTATATCCGAAACGGCTACTCAGGAGGAGACTATACCAGGGGAATCTACGATGGAGAAAACGATGGATGCCCCTGCAAACAATACTGTGCCGAAAATTGAGCTGAACAACGTGGTACGTTGTTAGTGAGAGCTGGTGTATGTGGTATTGAGCTGGTGTTGGTTTGGTATACCAATAATACCAACTATTCGAGCCAAACACACACACGCCTACCAGCTTTTACCAACTGTAAAACTGCTGAGCATTGCTTCGTATTCAAATTGAGAGAGTCTAACTATATTCATGTTGTTGATTCTTCAGAGGCGTTGGTGAGGAAATGCTTGACAGCAATCAAAAACGAAAAATTCGAGCAGCAGTGGATGAGACACCAATCACAAATAAAGACATTGCTGTAGCGATCTTGAAGGTGGGTATATTTCGTGCCACATATGTCCAGCTTATGAGCGATTGGCACAAACTATCAAAACTTGTTGCCAGGGCAAGGTCTTTTTTTATGGATCAAGAGTCTTGAGCTGGATAACCCAGACGAAGAAAAAGAACGTGCTAACATTCTGAAAGAAAATGCGGCTACGGACATAAGAAGTTCTATCAATTCAGGCGGGCAAGTGTCGAATTCGCAGAAATCGCTCGATTCGGTGAACAAGGTCGGTTGAGCAACGAATGTATAGCTACCGCATCAACTCGAATCGCTGCAGAGGCGACATGGAGTTTACCACCAAATGTATACGTTGCAAACCCCACGGTTGCTACGTTTGAGGATGAAGGTCAACGAAACAGGCTCGTTGACACAAATGACTTTATTTTCAGCAAACATGACGAGAGCACGGCGATACTGTGCCAAATCCACATTAATGTCGACGTCGCCCACTGGTGTGCCGCTGTGTTTGACATGAAGCGGCGGTTAGTGTGGATATACGACACACTTCACAAAGAAGACTACGAAGCCAAAGTGATCACGTTGGTCGAGAACGTGTACCTCCCCCTGGTAAATCCTGATTATCAATTGGAAATCCGACTGTATCGGGCGTGGCGCCAACGCGATGGTTTCAGCTGTGACGTGTATGTTGCGCATTGGTTTGATCATTACTTATCCAGCCATGCTCTGTCGTCCGAAGATGCGGTGGTACCCAAGACCAAGACTCTTTCCGAAACAGAGCTGGAGAAAGGTCGCTACAAGCTGTTCTGCTATGTGATTTTTGGTATGGCCGAGAGGGGCGACAAACGAGTGTAATGCATCTTGCTCATGCATTCATCCGATAGTTTGTTAACATCTTCACGCGTTCACGGCAGGAACCTATACTTGTCTGGTGAACAACAGCCTGTATAAGGCCAGTAGGGCGAGTTGGTGATAGTTGGTGAAAAGATGGCTAACTCTATATTTAGACAAAAATTGCAATACCAGTGTGATACCGGTATTGTAAAACCATATGTTTTAATGACTTCGTCCGGTCTATGTCACAATAGTTGGTCCACGTAGCCACTGCCATATATTACTGTCGGGCGAGCGTGGTGGCTGACATACCATCTTATTTGTCTAACCTTCTTCAAGCCCAGCGGCAACAACTTCTCCGTGGTCTTTGTCCACGTGGGGCCAGCGTTGTCCTGTTGGACGCGAACTATCGACGTTTTTCGGCCTACACAATAATTAACAAATGTCACTTCAGAAAAAATAAGCTAGCAGAAATTCAAACGTACCCTGCCATTTCTCGCGAATGGCTGAAAAAGGTTTTTCCAGCAGCATCGGCACGTACACTTTTCTTGACATACTCACATTTTTTGTGAAGGGTGTGCCGGCGGGTCGATATTAAGAAGGCTTTCTTGCCTCATTGCGCTCTACAATATGCCATATTCCGATTTTTCCATCAAAATATTTTTTCTTGAAAAATCAAAGCGTGGTCTTGCTACCGCTGCAAGAAACATGACTTTACCAATGTACCGCTTGTTGGGGCACGATCGGTAAGGTAGAGTTTCATCAGCCGCCAAATAGTACCGAGAAGATGCCTTGTACATGTTAAACCATTTTCATCTACATCAAACATAGCATCAAAGCGATACAAAAGTCCGCCTAAAATAATATGTGAAAAATATAAATATCAATTGAATAATAGCTTAATTATAATAATAATTCTTACCAATAGGACGCTTCACTTAAGAAAAAGCCCACGACAACCTCTGAAGCTTGTGGTCACTTGTCAGCGTAGGCTTCACTTTCGCGATAAAGTGGCGCAGAACTTTGGTCTTGAGGTAGCACTGTAGAGTCGACCGCGGGATACCGCAGACTATTTCTAGAGAGTGCAGAGTCTGGTGCTGGCAAAGCGGCACCGCAGCCACACGCTCGCTTACTTCCTTGGCAGTGAGGCAAGTCTTCCGAGGAGGATACGACCGGCGGGGCAGCACAAGCGCGGAAGGGCCGTCTCGTAGGTCCCAGATGAGCTCAATGGCGGCCCGGCCTAGCCGAAAGAGCTTATTGGCACACTCTATAGTGCCAAATCGGAGGCGACCCTCCTTAATCAGTGTAGTCAGGAAGACCACCACCGCAACGCGCTTCGGCGATATGTCCGTGGCTCCGAGCGCTCGCACAATCAAAGCAAATTCAGTTTTGTTCCGTTCTAGTGAGCAACCTTTTAGTACCCCCAACCAGCCATTTCACTGTGGGTGAATACCCCGCTTGCTCTAAAACTATTAACCAATCAAATCATTCTAACATTTTTGTGTGCTACACAAAAAACAAAATCCCTATAAATTGGTGGGACAGAGAAGTATTCCGTTTGTGGCCATGCCATGTTAGGTCTCGTTTCATTGGCCGAGACCTCCATGGGGAGATTATGATTGCCGCGAAACTGCCTTGCATGGCACGTCGCCGCGCCATGGCAATCGATTGTGCCTTATGCCATATGACGCCTTTTAAGAAATGTAGAAAAGTCGTTTCTTCATCGGTTGGTACATGTACTCAACGCAAAAAATGAAACGATCAAGGAAAATATAGAGAAGAGAAGCTGCACGTTTAAAGACAATATACCAAACCCAGCTTTAGTTGCCGAGGCAATTTAGATTGTCATTTCCAAAAACAAATACTGCAAAAAAAATTGCTTGAATGTCAGTAATGTAAACAGATCCGATTTCGGTGCAATAAAAGTAGTTTTCAATTATTAACAATGAAGTTTTGAGCATAACGACAAAAGCTAAATAATGCAGGTCTTACAAGTATTCTATTCTGTTGGGAGTAATACAGTGTCGCGCGCCTTTTCTTTTGATTTATTAAATATGTGAATAGTGCCTTTTTTCTTGGGCTCTGAAAAAAGAAACGACGATACAGTCAAGAATTCACTGCAGGCGAAGTAGTTAAAGCGACTTTAACGCTGAGACAATTTAAGACGAAGTTATACACACCAAAGTCACATTATAGAATAAAGTCGCTATCATTGCCAATAAAGTCGCTTTGGAAGATAAAGTCGCAAAGATTATCTTCTTACCAGTATACACCGGTATTTAGGTGTGAATCGGTGGCTGCTGTAGACGCCAAGAGACTTGCCTCGATGAATGCTCATGGTAGCAACGTAGCAAGCTCGGGAACCGCATGTGTGTAGGAATACTAATGCGTATGGTGATACAAGCTGCAGAGGGAGGAAGAAGGTAAATCGACGGCGGTGAGACAAAGGGAGGCGGGTCAACAAACAAACCAGGTGCGTATGAGCTCACGTCTGAGCTGACGTTTAAAGCCGTATTGCTTTAAAAAGTGTGTGTTTACTGCTCTTGGTATGTGCGCAGCAAGCGGACGCATCGGAGAGGGCAACGAACTATACGTGACTCATCAAACAGGTACCACCTTTCGTGTAAGACCTAATTCGAGCGCTACCTCAAAGGCGAGAGAACATAAGGCTGGTGGATTTTTTCCGGGGCACTAGAAAATTTAAATACCCTTCTCGCTCGAAACGCTTCGGCAAAGCGACGAGGTAATGCTCACTTACATGCATGCGATTGCTTGATTGAATGATATGCAATTGTTCGTATTAAAAATAGGTTGTAGCGGATTTTCTCGAGCGGAATGCTATGGATCGAGCAAATGAAGAAGAGTAAGGAAAGTTGCAGTTTTGCTTACGTATATGTTCGTTATGAGTAACGTGATTTTGTTAAGTGCAAACGAAGTAAAAAAAGTCTTCCGTCGAAGAGAGTCCTTCTGTTATACTGAAACGTTCGAAGCATTCGTTGGGGAATGCAGCTGATAATTCAAATGTACGCGGTGAACCGTGCCCTGGCGCGCTAATAAATTTGGCAGAAATAAAACCCCGCGAGCGGTCTACGAAGACGGATACTGAACGGCCCTTAATCGAAGCATCCCACCACTAAAGTCCCATACCTCGTCGTGCTTACAACTCGTGGAAGACTATCGAAGATGTCGTTGCTGACTACGAAAAGGCCACCGACACTCACTATCGTGTTCGGTCGAGTGGGTCTGTTCTGGAGTACAATGAGTACGGTGTTTTTTAAAAATGGTTTTCCAATTTTTATATCTGACGTTAATTTTAAGCTGTGGTTTTTTAGGACTTACTCTGACCAAATACCAGTGGAGTTAGACGTCAGCTTTAAAACGTTTCGTTGTGCTAACAGCGTGTACCAAGGATCTAGGGCGAAGGCGGATCGGTGGAACAGCACTGGTTACTCTGGTTGTAAGGCAAGGTTCACCGCCCGATTTGTGAACATTGCAGCGAGTGTGGATGTTATCCCGAATTGGCGAATTATTCTCGAGAGCGAGTACCGCACGCATAACCACCTCAACTGTGGTGCTACACATACACGCGTCAAGGACATTCCCGTGGACAGACTCAACCAACCTGACGGCTCAAGCTGTGGCGTCATGGTTATCGCTACATCTTATTCATACATTCAAGGACATGGACAATTTGAGCTGCAACAAGTTACCAAGTAGGTCGTCATGCTGATGCGTTTACGGATTCTCTGGGTGATCTTGTGCTGTTCAAAGCCCACAGCGCTGGTGATGACGACAAGGCTCATACTGCAGTTGCTGATATGAAGCTGACAGCTACCTTTCTAAAAACCGAAAAGTAAAAATAAAAATGAGAGAAGTGTTAACGACGTTGAATGCTAAAACCAAAGGATCATGTGCTCAGTTATGACAGTCTTAAGCGATTAGGGAGCTTTAGCACTAAAACAAATATCGTGTCTATCTATCGGACGCGTATATGAGGGGCTTTACCAGGTACCAGCGGCGCATTAATTAACTGTGGCGGCCTAATAACAGGACGACCATACTCTCTTTAAGTCAAGTGGCCCCGGCGATTGTAACTAGCTGTAGTGCCTTTAGATCATAGCTGCGGCAACTTAACTTGCAGGGCGACTTTAAAAGGACGACCAAACGTTCTTTAAGTCAAGTGCCGGTGACTTTAACTAGCTGTGGCGACTTTAACTTGCAGGACGATTTTAACAGGACCATACTCTCTTTAAGTCAAGTGGTCCTAGCGACTTTAACTAGCTGTGGCGGCTTAGCAGCGCCAACTTTAGCTGACCTTGACAGGATTTGTATAATAGCTGGAATTTACCGGTATGAAACGTTCAAAGTCGGAATAGAGCTAAAGTCGCTCAAAAAAGCAAAAATGTTTCAGTTTAAAGGCTTTAACGGGATTCCTCTGCAGGTGCAAAATCGGACGGTGGGAGAGCTAAAACCTCCAACCCATCTTCGTATCAAGTACCCCCATCTCAATCGCAGTCGTAGCTGCAGGACGGCAGCGGCACGGGAGAAACTAACGAGACCCCTCATCGGGAGGGACCTCGCGCAAAACGTACACGGTTGGGATAGCAGGATGAGATAGTCAGCAAGTACCAGTCTCGTACCGGTATTAAATGGATGTAGACGAACTGTGGACGAACCACAAAATGTTGTCAAATACAAAATTTACCAATGCGTAATACTGACCCTCAACGTGTTGTAATCTTACCTCCACCCCAATCTGTGTACGCCTCGCATGACTTAGCTGAAGAAGCGTTGCATCAGTGGGCTAAAGATCACGGGTTCAATCTTCCACGTCGCCAAGTTCGGTACACAGACGACGCTGACAGCAAGGTGTGGGCACGGAACTATGAGTGAGATCGATCCGGAGCCGTGAAGAACACTCAGCACTTGACCGAAGAGACCCGAACGCGCAACATGCGAGGTTCAAAACGCTCAGGAGGCCCCATGCTTATTGCACTGCATGCTCTCAGCAAGGCAGAAACGACGGGCCTTAGAAGGTTGTTCACACGGCACGAAGCGACCCCTATAACCACGAACCGTCCCGGGACATTCGTGCTCATGCTGCTGTCACGCCCCGTGCTGCTCAAACATCTCAGGAACAAACGTCGGTGACCACGTCAGACCTGGTGGAAATCCAGACTGCAGCAGGGGTTGTCGTTTCGACCATTCAAGCCACGCTTATAAGTGCCGATCCAGACTCTCTCGTGATCGCCTAAGACATCTCCAATACAAGAAGTGCTGTTCGTAGGCGAGATCTGGCTTCTCATACAGCGATAGAATCTCTCTTCGTGGAGCTTCGAAAGCACAAATTCTATCACACGTGGCGCGTCAATCAAGAAACGAACGGGGCAACCCACCTTATTTGGGGTTATTCCGACACCTCTGAGCCTTTCAAGCTTCACCACGATGTGTTATTTGCCGACTGTATCTACAAGACGAACAAACATCGCATCCCACTGCTCAATATCATTGTTGATACCGGAGCTAATACGGTTCTTTCCGTTGCTCAATGCTGGCTTCCTGGTGAGAAAGGAGAAGACTTCGTTTGGGCTTTCAACATGCTACGTCTCTTCATGATTGAGAGCGATATAGAACCTCCTTACGTCATTCTCACTGATCGGGATCTCGCCTGTCTGAATTCACTGGACCGTGTTTATCCGGACGTACCTTCGATGATATGCCGCTGGCACATGAGCAAGAACGTGGAAAGTACGGCCAGAAAGCACTTAGGCCAAGTAGACGTCGAGAACCCAGCCCCGGGACAACAAAAAGGAGAACCCTCGGGAAACCAATTCCTTCATGGCTACGTTTTATGAAGCGGTGGAAGCAATCTCAGAAGCAGAGTTTAAAGAAAAACGCAAGGTCCTTGTCTCAGAGAGCAAGGTGGTGTCAGACTATCTGGATCTGCATTGGTGGAAGTACAAGTCGCGAATTGTGAGATACTGCACAAGCAAGTACTTCCACTTCGGTCTCCGAGACACATCTACAGTCGAGGGAACGCATGCCAAGATCAAAGCCAAATTGAAATCAAGCCAAGGCGACTTGTACACAGTTTTCAAGAAGCTGCGTAGCTGGTGGAGAATTGCTGCTAATGATACAAGTTTGCGCATTGTTCAACATGCAACGATTGAGCCTCGTTGCTGCAAAACAGCAGATACAATCGAGTTGTCAGGATTATCACGAGAAACGCTTTGAGAAACACAGAGAGGTTGTGGATGGATGCAGAGAAAATTGCCAATGGTGGAATTGAACGTTGTGTTTGTTCCGGGGAATTTCGTGCTGTCCATGGTCGCCCTTGTCTCCACGAGCTTATTGCAGTCATAGAGTCGAATGGAAGGAAGTACCTCACCCCGGATCATTTCGACAAGCACTGGTGGATTTACGGCGACAATAGGACTGCCCCTGCAAGAATTCAAAACCCTGCTACACTGCAACAATGTAGGCCCAAGAAAAGCACGCGCAGAACGCGGCTAGCAAACCAAGGTAGTACAGGGACCCGACATATAGTGAACGAATCCACAAAAATCACCCGGCTACACCTCCTGTGTCAGCTCATAATGCCCCTCAGGATCCCCAAGGTTTTGGAGCTCAAGCGGGTGATCAAGTAAAGCCATTCGAATCACATTCTTTACCAGCGAGGTCGTGGGGGTATGCAGGAAGAGCACCTTACTTAGATCAGAGTGAAAGAGAGGAATAGGCGCTGTTTAAACACATTCGTAATTCCATCAATACATCGTGAATTACACCGCTAAACAACAAACCACAGAGAAGGTAGGTAGTTTTGATAATAAAAAGAAGAATTGTAACGGGAACGTGAATTGTAGCGGGAACGCTGTACCAAAGTTGAAGATCTCGACCAAATAAATCGAGTAAACATAATTTTGTCCAGTCAGGTGAGCTCTTCCATTTAAGATTATCGTACGTCTCAGTTCTAAGCGGAGTGTTCCCTCATCTTGCGGACTCGTAGCGAGCTCTGGTGCTTGAACACCTCATCGCACACCTACTCACCTTCCTCGTACTCACGTTTCCGCTTCTGTTTGTTAGCAGCCCCCTTGGGGTTCTTCTCGCAGTAGAAGCGGTGTTTCCGAGCTGCTTGACCCTTCTCCACCGCCACAGAACATACACTCATCGTGTTCAGGAAGTGCGTCTTGAACGATATCTGGTGTCCATTTCATCCCTGCGTAGGTAAGATAGCAGTGAATGCGGTAGTTACTCGTGCTGTACGGCATTCCGTTGTGTATAAGGTCACCTCTGAACAGAGCACATAATTCAACCGGAATGTTCACGAAGCGCGCCTTGGAGTTGTCTCTCGCAGTATAGCAACCAGCATAGATGCGGAGCTTCGTGCCGGGCTCCAACGCACAAAATTATGGTGGCTGGAACACCATCCGGGCGAAGGTTACGGGCTCTCACCAAGTCACTCTCTTGGTAGTCTTGATGGGGCTCCTGTTCCGAGTCCCCAGGCATCGACCGCATGAAAGAAAAAAAACAGGCTACCACCCAGGGTGCAGCATGCCGCCAACCACTTTTAGAGCCTTGCTCAACTCTTGTAGAGGCGATGACATGGTGCGAGAGCTCACATGCGATTGATGTCGGAAGTTTTCGTCTTTACCACCCACGCGATTGAAGGCGCCGTTGTACGAACGCGCTTTGGCTTCCGCTAGGAGCGACGGAACGACCGTGTCAGTAAGCACAAGACCCACAGGCAGATAGCCATGCGGAATCAATGACCCTGTTCGTAGTTTCTCCATTTGAGGTTTTGGAGGGAGATCTAAGAGTGGTAGATGTAACGGGAACGCGATTTGTAACGGGAGCACGATTTGTAACAGGAACGGTTTTTGAAACGGAAATGGTTTTAAATACCGGTACAATACTGGTAATTACTGACTATCTCATCCGCCTATCCCAACCGTGTAGTTTTTGTGCGAGGGTTCTCGTTAGTTTCTCCCCAGCAGCACTGTGGGCGCTGGGGTGGAAAGGCTGGTGGTGAACTATGCTGTGTCGTCGGCATAACCGACTATTAATGCCACGGCACCGATGACATTAAAACATAGACGCTGCAACGTCAAAAGACTAGCTATGTAAGCTCCTCTGAGCCATTCCAGTCCCGCGGAGATGCTCCTACGACGGGCTCTGACACCCTTTACTCTTTGGCCTCGAGTACGTCAGATCTTCGCTCCGATGAACTTCTTAAAGTTCTTCATCGGGCAAAGTAATTTTTTCCGACTAGATTAATGCTATAATAGCCTTGAAAGCTGAGGAGGCGTATGTCAAAACTATCGCACCCATGAGGAACTCCATGTAGACCGCCCAGTGGCTCACGTGGATTGAAGGTCAGGATAAAAGGGTTTATAGCGATGGCCAGCCAGCCATACCTGCGCTTTCTGCAACCGTGACTAGCCGTAACGATGGGACGCTCACGCTAACGTCGGCCACCAATCGGGATGTGAGTCAATACAAGAAAGCTATCTAAACGCCGGTGCTGGAAATTTTACGTATGGACTGCAGGCTCGGCCTCATTGCCCTGTCGTAGAGCTAGCAATCTGTACTTGAGCAGTTTATTCTGAAGAAGTCTTGATTTTATGCATTGCATCGTTGAGTATGCATTACGTTCATTCGACAAATTAGGAGATTCTGTTTGATCTTACTGGTTAGTTTTACGCAAAGGGGGATGACAAGTTTTACATGATGGTATTGTGCCTTTCTGCAAACATGCCCTACGATTTAGGGCCCTACGTAGGACCTCTGCTCCTACGTAGGGCTCATAAAGCCTACCCTGGAAGTCAGTAAAGCTTATGCTGTAACGTAAAATAGGATAGCGCTCTGAATGTACAGTACCACTGGAGGTATATAACTTTCAGACAAGCTGGCACAATGCTCTCTTTTACCCTAGCCATTGTTGTTTATGATTCCAAGTACTAAAGTATTCGTAGACTCTACTTAGTACTTGGCTAAAATGATTATTTATACAGCTAACACCGGTAGCACTCAGGGCGAGCGTCAGTTGAGTTCTGCGTACCTGCCGTATTACTGGCTCTATCAATATAGGCCAGGCCCCTTGAGCAGGACCTACGCAGGAGGAAATGACCGTTGAAAATTGGCCTTTCGGACTTTACTGAGTTGTCTAGAACAGCCCCTACGTAAGATCGGATGTCTTACGGAGGACTACCAAAGATACATTTTACCATCACTACAGCAAATCTTAGGCTTAGACCTACCCGCTCCTTCTTGGGACCAGCCTTTTGAAGTCCGATTGGCCAAAGTTTAAAAAAGGCACAATTGCTGATTGTGAAAATATAGTGATATTAGTAAAAAAGGGGTGTTTGGGCGTCAGTGACACTAAGGCTCGTTCTTAACCGGGCGCATCGCACGGCATCGCATCGCTCACTTCTGTACCGTGCGACCGCATCGGTTGAGAATGATCTGTGCGACGCGGTAAAACCAGCTGCATAAAAAAATCGCACCTAACAGAGGTAAGTGATCCTTCCAGTACGGAAAACTCCACTTCCAGAACACCCCCTCAGGCAAGCAACCAAGACGCGCACGGTGAGTTTCCATTAATGAATTGAGTTATATAAGTGTCAAACTGACGCTCTCTGTGAAGAATGTCTTCATTTACCAATGTCCCTAGCGAGTCAGCTCAAAAGCCCCAGCAGGGCGTCCAGCGACACTCTCTGAACCAAATTCTCGAGCATTCGTCACATTCAGTGTGCTCTGCGGCTCCCTCACTTGCCCCATACGCATTCAAAGACCGCTACGTGTGCTGGTTTTCACAGTGGAGAAGCACAGCAGCCTCTTGGAGTATTGTTTTTTTTCACCCACCCAGCTCAGAGTCGTTCCAGTCTCTCGTGGCACGGTCTCAGGTGGAAGTTGAGCTTGATAAATGTGATGAATCTGAAGAGGAAAAGAGCTGCAACAATGGTGTCTCTGTCGACTACTCGTCATGGAAGGCAGACGAAGTTAGAAAGGAGTGCACTCGTAGAGGACTTAAGGTGAAGGGGAATCTCAAGAAAGACGAACGCATTATGATACTCATGAACCACAACATGCTCCAAGCTTCAATCGGTTCCAGCACTATTAACTCAGTTTCGGTCGGTGCCAGGACTAAGCACTGCATGTACTGACTATTAAATTTGCTAGTCTCTGATGAATTCGCCACGCGTTTCAGTCAGTCGGGTACGACGTATTGCTATATCACTATCGAATATAATATATCTAATGAATATGTTTTAGGAGATAAGCCTCCACGAGCAGCATTGGATACAAGAGAGGTCAATGACAGAAGCTGTTTCTGGGCTGATGTTCAAGCTGCCTTCGCTACTACGTACGCAGAAGATCACCCGGTAAATCTTCTCCACATTGAAGATGACTTCTTCAAAGACATTGATCTCTCAGTGACTAAAGTCCATTCAGCGAAAAAGCTTTTCGAGATGTGGAAGGACGTCAATAAGCACTACATTGTTGCTGAAAAGAGGTTCACAACATCAGGCCAGCACGAAAACGAGTTCAAAAACTTTGTTCGAGGCCGTGGATACGTACTCTACTTGCAAAAATGACTGACAGTACGTAAATTGTATAGTTTTGCAGTGCTTTATGGTACTTACACACTGTAAAAATCGTGGTATATACTGGCAGGTGAAGCATGAGCTGACAAACTTTACTAAAGGAGGCTTGCTACCTGAGGATGAACTCGACACTTTAGCAATAAAATCCTCGCAAACCTCGGAGTCAAGTACCAAGAAAACAATCCCTTCGAAATCGAAGCGCAAGAGCGCCGAGACACTCGAGCGCCTTGCTATTGCATTTGACAACTATGTAATCGATCGCAGGGTATAAGCAGCGCACGCCAAAGTTGATCGAGACCGTGAGGTGGCCAGATCCCAACTCAAAGAGAAAAGTGCAGTTATATCGCTGCTGAACGACATTCGTCGTCATCTCAATGACGTCGACAAGGAAATTGCAGCTAGCCGAGCTCGTGGAGAATCGCCTGTCTATTTGGAGGAGGACAGAAACCTTCTACTGCAAGAACGTCAATCCCTGATCGACAAGCTAAGATCTCTTTCAAACTAGCGAGCCAAAAACACCGAAACATATTATGATAGTTGGATTTTAGAAACAATTTTTGAGCTTCTATAGCACGTCTTCTTGCAATGTTGTGCTCTGGTCGGCGCAGCTCGTTGTTGTAAATGTACTCAACGATGACATCGCGCGTTATCTCATCCGAAAGTTCAGCTACCTTTCCTCCGTCTGTCTCGAACTGAGTTTCCAAGAATGACAAGTCCTTGTTCCTATTTCAATTGCGCAATTCTTGTCTTAGAGCTCTGATAGATCGTTCCGCCGTATCCGGACTCTCCAATAGATGCTGGGCAATGCAGACATTATGAAGACGCATGCAACAATGAATACCTTAGGAGCATTAGCCAAATTGACGCACAGGGGCAACTTTAAAATTTTCCACTTATTCACTAAAAGGCCAAATGCCATTTCCACTCGTATCCGCCATTGACTCAAGTAGTAGTTATAGTTATCTCGATCGGGTCTACCTCGCAATTGCGCTTGGTTATATGGAGTCATCACAACGCGTGTCTGAGGGTATGCATTTTCCGCAACAACATAATAAGGACCACGTACACGCTTTAACTGCCCACACAGCGACCATTGAAGTAAAGCTACTAAATCATTCCTTCCACCAGGAGCTCGGCACGCCAAAGCAGTAAAACTGCATTGATGATTGGCACTAGCTTGTATATTTAATCCATAGCGTTGATAGTGTCCCGAAAAAAAGCGACCACACGACCACATTCACTGCGGCGTGGAACGCGAATCGGACACAGCCATCCACCAATGGCTCCAATACAGCCCGTAATTGCCCTTCCTCCACTAATCGTGCGAAATCCAGCAGCGGCAACACTCATTTCACCATCTGTGCACGGGAAATGTAGAGCTAAACGAGGGCAAGTGTTGATAGCACGTAACACAGCATGTAGAATACGGTAGAAACCAGCTCGGCTAGTACCTGTTATGACTCGAATATGGTGATAGCTACCACCAGCTAACCAAGAGATACACGACTGCAGCATTCCAGCGGGCGAAACCGGAGGCTCACCAAGGGCTCTTCGAGCCGATTGAACAGGATCTACTGATAAGTCCGAACCCACCAATAGTAACAAACGCTCAAAGCCAGCCATGCTCATTCGATAATACTGTTTAAATTCCCCTTCCAAAACTAAACGTTCAGCATGAGAATTCTAACACATCCGCTCGCGTACTACAGTCAATTCACTTATACATTCCACAGCGCTCTCCATAATGATCACTAGTGTAGGAACAATATCTGAGCAAAAAACTTCGTCTTCAGCCCGACGAAAGGAAGCCATGGAAGTAGGTTAGCGAACTGACAGCAAATTGAAGTCTGAAGGGAAAACCTTAATATGGTAAGATGTCGAAGCTGAAGAGATGATAAGATTGAGAAGACTGTATGCTTCTGATTGGAGGATTTCCAGTGCGACCCAATTCGCTCTGATGCGATCATATTTTTACATGCGACGAATTCGTCGCATTGACGCCTTTTTAAAATCTCTTTTACATGCGATCACCTTCCCCTTAAGCCAATCATAAGAGAGTGGCCTCGTGATTCTGAGTTTCCGAAATACGGACCTTCGGGATCTTTGCGTGGGACCTGATAACGGTCGTACCTCGTTCACTATACGCCCTCTCAGCCAATCAGAATCATTCTATACGTTTCCCGTAGGTATCAGGTATACGCATTTCACCATTCCGCATTCTGCGTAGACCTCCGTTATGCGTCTCGGTCTGCTCGTCGCCGCGTTGGCTGCGCTGTCCTTCCAGCCGGCCTCGTCGCTCCTGCGCGTTCCTTTGACCGCCAAGGCGCAACGACGCAGCGCTGATCACCTGCTCCAGTTCCACACGCAACCCAGCGACGCCGTGACCAATGCAGTTCAAGCTGATCACGTCCTGCAGTACGCCGCGATCAACACTCAAGATATCCTGCACAATGCGCAGGATCTAGCTGCACAGGGTCTTGTACCACTCGAGAACTTTATGGAGTTCCAGTTCTTTGGCCCCATCGCCATCGGGTCGCCTCCTCAGGAGGTCCTGGTGTGCTTCGACACAGGCTCGAGTGACCTGTGGGTGCCCGGCAACAAGTGCGAGGCCTGCGCAGGCCAGGATCGCTTCAACCACTCGCTGTCCAGCACATACCACGAGTCCACGACCCACCCCGCCTTTGCCGTACAGTACGGGAGTGGCAAAGTAAGCGGTCACTTCGGCCTGGACGTGGTACATGTGGCTCAGTTCCAGGTGCAGGACACGACTGTCGGTATCGTCAGGACGGAGGAGGAATCCATGGCCAGAATGAAGGCTGACGGCCTGTTGGGTATGGCTTTCGACGGGCTCTCCACGTTCTCCCACCCTCCGCTCTTCTTCGCCCTCTTGGAGCAATACCCAGAGCTGGATTCGGTGTTTGCCTTCTATCTCAGTCCGGATCCCAATACCAATGGATCCGAACTGCACTTAGGAGGATACGACGAGGACTTTATGGGCTCGCTCGAAGCTTCTTGGCAGATGACGGACGTGCTGCCTCAATTCGGCCAATGGACGTTCTGGAGGATCCACCTGCACAGCGTCAACGTGGGCAAGCACAGAAACGCCTGTGCGGATGGCTGTGTGGCCTTCGTGGACTCCGGAACGTCGCTCATTGGCATCCCAGGCACTTTGTATTTGAACTTTCTGTATGAAGTGGCTACATTTGCTCAGAACCAAGGCTGCTACTGTGGATTCGTCCAGTACGGCTTCCAGTGCTTCCTGTGTGCTCCAGAAGACTTCCCGCCGCTTCGGATTGGCATCGGAGGGAACCACTTTTACGTCTTGGAAGGCTCGGACTACACGCTCTGCGTCGGCTTAACCTGTATCGTGCTGGTCCAGCCGAGTGGGCAGGAGATGTGGGTGCTGGGCGATGTGTTCATGAAGAAATTCTACTCTCTATACGACGTCAAGAAGAAACAAATGGGCTTCGCCTGTCCAGCCAACTCGACGTTGTGTGGTGTGGAAGATATGCAGGATAAGACGGTGAACAGCAACGGCAACGACCTGTTGCCGTCCCAGAAGTCGCCCTTCTTCGAGAACAGCTTCAACATGTACGACATGGACACCCACGCTGTGCTGGTGTTGTTTCTGTCGGGTCTGTCGCTCGTGGGCTCCGGGTTCATCGTGTCTTCGTTTGTGCAGTACCCCATTCTACGGAGTTTCCGCTCGTTCTCGATCTTCTTTTGGCTTTCGGTGTGCACGTTGGGCTACAACTTGACGCTGTGGATCGCTGGCGTGTGGCGTGCTCACCAGACCCACGTCTTGTTCTGCGCCTTACTGAAGAGCAGTCAACAGTTCTTCGGCACTGCCATTTTGCTGTTTAGTGCTGCAGTTGGCCTGGAGCTGATTCGTGCTGTGCGGTGGACGCATTCGAGTACAGTGGAGTACAAACTGGTCTACCACGTCGTCATCTGGTGCTCTGCTGCGTTCACGGGGGCATTTTCGCTGCTCACGGGGGTTGTAGGCTTCCTCCCTGACGGTGCCGGACCATGTCGAGCGTGTTTTGTGGGCCATAGTCCTGGTTGGGCTCGGGTGTTGCTCTTCTACTTGCCAGCTACACTGACACTTACGTTTGCCGGGTCGGCTGTGTACCTTGCGTCCAAGGGCTCTGCAGGACTGTCGCTACCGCCCCAGGCCGAACGTGCACGTCGTAGTAGTGGGCAGCTACTGTCGAGTTGTGTGGCTACAGTTGCCGCACTGTTCCTCCCGACGCTGTTCGGTTGGTTGCAATCTTTTGGGGCCGACTGGGTCACCTCTGGCTTCTTCCTGTATCTGTCCGAGTTGTGCTTCTACTCGCAAGGTCTGCTGAACGCGTTATCCTGGGCGTTTAACCCGTCGTACCGTGTCGCTCGATACCGAGGCAGCAATGCTGTGGGAGGTGAGGCGACGCGTCTCATGGGACCAAATTAACCCCGTGCTACATCAGGATAACGTTGCTTTAGACACAAATAAAGCAGTATTTGTCAGCTTAACAGTATCCTGACTTAACCTGTGTTTGCCTATTTAGTGGGGAAGGCGTCGATAGCGCCGTAGAAGTCCCAGAAGTCGTCTCCTAGCAGCTCCAAGTTGTCGTCCTGGAGCCAACTGGCCTGTTGGCAGATCAAATTGTCCTCCACGACGTAGTCGATGTGGTCGTTATGACGCACGGGGAGATGCCCACAACCTGGTCGGTGGGCATCTCGTGGTGACGAGCACTTGGCAGGCTGCGTGGGTTCAGTCTTAGCTGCGGTCTTTGCGGGTCCACGCTGGAGCGCACCCAGATTCGTGACACTGTTTTGGCACACGAGATGGTTTTGCACCACATAATCGCGGTGGTTTCCGTGCTGGATGGACAAGTGGCCACAGGAGCGATTGTGACGCGAGTACTGCAGCAACGACGTCGGCGTCGACACGCAAGCCTTCTCGCTAGCAGATTTGGCAGGTGCAGCCGGCGTATCGCTACCAGAAGCAGCTCCATGAGCTGCGTTACCCGAGCTCGACAGTTGGTTGACTGGAGCGAAGGCTGATCCAGTGGCGTCCGGCGCAATGAACGTCAAGGTTGGGTCCTCAGGGAATGTCGGACCCATGGAGCTGTTCCCAATACCGTTGGGTAGGGCACTTGAGGGTGGGAGCGGCGTCAAGAGTTGCTCCAGCATGTCCGATCCACTCGATACTTTATTCCCAGTAGTAGAGACCGTAATATCATCAGGCGGGGGAGGTCTCAGCTCCAGATGAGCGGGGCAGCAACTAGTTCCGATAGTAGTTGAGGGACAGTGAGGAGGGAAGGCGTCCAGAGAAAACGGCAACGTCTCCTGGGACAGCAAGAACGCGTCCAACGACGAAAGCGCCGCAAGACACGCAGGTGGAGAGTGAATGTGGTTCTCTGGACACTTCAACTCGTAGCGTATCGGTCTGGTCGGAGTGTCCAGACACGCGGCGGTGGCGGACATTTTGCGTCGATTGGTCCTACACGTTGTAGTGATTGGCAGAGGAGCCTTCATCACGAACGGTTCCGGTAGCAACACGTCGGGGTTCATGGCCGTGTCTGCGGTCGTAACCAGAGCATTGGCGACGTCGCTTGGACAGTCACAGCTCTCATCTCCCGAGTCGATTTTCTTCGCCACAACAGGCGACAGTTTGCGTTTCTTGGTCCTGGGTCTACCAGAAGCGTCTGTCTGGTCTTCATGAAGTCGCTGGTGCTTGTGGAGATCGAATTTCCGAGCGAAACTGCGGTCACAACCAGGGAAGGCACATGAGAATGGTTTCCTGCCTCTACACAAGATAAATTACCGTCAGAAAACTATTTAGAAAAATAAAAAATTAGAATACTACAAAAACTCACGTGTGGGTGCGTTCGTGACTCAATAAATCCGAACGACGCGCGAAGCACTTGCCACACTCCTCGTACTTACAGCGGTAGGGCTTCTCGCCCGTGTGGACACGGTAGTGCACCTCCATGTCTGCCTTACGCAGGAATTTCTTACCGCAAAATTTACATGCGAATTTCTTATCCCCATTGTGGATATTGACATGTCGCTTCAAATTGCCTTTGAGTTGGAACTCACGGCCGCATCCTGGAAACGTACACCGAAAGATCGTCTTGTCCTTAGTCGCTCTCTTGGTCTCGACAGATTTTGGTTTGGTTGATGTTGTTGGCACGGAATTAGCCTCGGTTTTAGCGACGGGAGGTAAATTTTGCGCGGAGCTGAGACTTCCATGGCCGCCCAACGACATCGCGTCCACTTTGTTACTGAGCGCGAGGGGAGCCATGTTTATCTTCTCTTACGGTACTGTGCTGGTGGTCTTGCACTTGGCTCTTCCTCCAGCGAATGTCGAATGACAAACAGAGGACGCTGAATATGCCTGGTCAGGTCTGTCAAAGGCCTAGAGCTCTTTCTCCGAGATTGGCACGCTCGAGCCGCCGTCGGACAAATTCGCAAAACCCTAGTGAGCTCTTGAACTGTATGTTTCATACAGTTGTAGAGATTAAATGCGGACACAAAGTTTAGGTTGCGATTTTAAGTGAACAGCTAACTTAATCCAGTATAATTATAACGGGTTGTCCCCAGTAGAAAAACTAGCTACATGTAATACTAACTTAGTCGCCAGTTTTTTAAGTTCGCACCCCGAATTTATCGAGAATCATGCCCCTGCGATAAAAGAAAAGCTTGTCGCTGCCGGCACTTTTAAGAAAAAGGGAGCAGACAGATTCTACTGCTGTTTTCCGATCTTGAAATACTGCTAGGTGGAGTAAGAATTACTTCACATTTTACAAATTCCTGATCTTGCTACCGATTTTTTTTTCCATAAAAATAAAGACAGCATACGTGTTTCACTATGTATCCCTAAGATTCCCGTACTGAGCCCGAGGCGAACGCCATTATTTCTAACAATACCGGCTCCCGAACTGGTTTCGCTACCAGATTCCAGATTCAGCTACTGTTACAGGCTCAACAGATTTTAATGATTGGTGTTCCCGGTTAACTGTGATTAGATGTTTGAATTTAGAACTAAGCTAACAGCTCAAATCCTAGTTTTGAATATTAAACATGACTAGGGCTCTACTTTTTCTTGGCTTTTTAGGCACGGCGATTGGATCGAGTTGAGATCGAAGCTTTAAAATGAGACGCAAACTCTCAAGCCAAAAGAAGATAAGAGAATTCTAACCAATCGGATAAGCTCGCTTTTTCATCTGCGTATTCTACTTTATTTTAGAAGTGCCACCAGCTGCCTGGTACTTTTCAGCTGGAAGATAATAATTCCTTGATTTGATTTTATGGAGTACTTTGATGCTGAAGCGCGTGTTGGCATTTTTGAATCTCGGTGTATTTCGCTCTGACTGCTGTAACGTTCTGTAACGATTTGGTGAGTGAAAGTTTCGGTCCATTCAACTGACACTGGGTACCATTTGGTGAGTGAAAGTTTCGGTCCATTCAACTGACACTGGGTACCAAATAAACCGCCGTCGGATAAATAACTCTATCACACTTCGTCGTAGGACATGTCAGGTATTTTAGTAATATTAATAAATACTTTCATGTTAAAGTACATGTTATAATCAGGAATTGGTAGTAGAATCAAAAATATGAATCTGGAGTATTACTAATACTACTACTAAATACATAGTAGTCATATGAATATCAAATGTTTGGTATTCACTATTGGTCTGAGTATTACTCTCAAATCCCAGTACTATAGTTCTCACAAAGAACTATTTTCACCAGAACCCTGAACCAGCAACTCATTTGACTCGTTCTGCAGTGCGAGACGCCCGCCATTTGCGAACAAACAGGAAGATCGCCAGTTCATCGAGTTAACATCTCAGGAGACAACTATGACGTGCTTTGTGGAGGGATGTCAGGAAGACGATGGCCTTAAGAAGGACCCGTGTACTGTGTGTGGAAGGCTTATACATCACATGTGTGCTATTGACGTCTACGAATGCAGCGATTCGGCACTAAATGAAAGGTATTCCAGCCAACTTGTCTGATTCTAACCGGGCGTATAGTAATTTAAAGTGATGTCTAGGTTTTGCAGTCCTTCTTGTGTGCGTGTCGTGTATCCAGAGGTCAGCCCACCTGCGTCAGCTTCCGCCACTGGAAAACGGACAGCCACGTCTGGTGGATTAAGAGATATCTGGGAGGGTACCGACTCAGACTTCACCCCATCTCCAGATCTATCTGGGGTCAAGGATGACGATCGCGTAGTGAAGCGGCGGAGAACTGCTCCAGGCCCTGCCGTAAAGGCCTTGAAGAAGAAGACACCTCTGTCTACGCAGACCAAGGCTGGGAAGAAGAAAGCAGCTCGCCTTCAGAGGCTGCCAACAGTCTTTTTACGGCCGCACCGGTACCGCTGTCTGCACCTCCGATGTCAGATCGTGGTGTGCCACTTACCGTTAAGCACGCGAGGAAAGCGGGCACTACAGACGATATCTGGGATCTCAGCCACACGCTGGACGTGCCGTACAAAAAGCAAAACCCTTGGAAGCCGTCCACCCAACTATATCGCAACATCTGCCTGTTGTGCTGCGATACTATCAAGTCCCGCTCCAAGACGAACCCATATAGTTGGGAAGCGGCTCTCAGGAATACCAAGAACGCAAGCAATGCAAAGGATCACATAAAACTGAAGCACGCCGACCATCCTCTTGCCATTCACGCGGAACAGAGTGCTACGGATAAGTCCAGGAAAGATGTCGAGTCCACCGAAGTGGATTCCGCGTCCGTGTTGAACCTGACACGGGATCCGGATCAAAACCAAACGTCCATTACTTCTCCTGACGAGGCGATACTGGTGGCAGGAGGAAGTGCTTCTAAGCCCTTCTTCCGAGTGAGCGAGAAGACTTTGAACGTTCTCGTCTCGAAGCTCTTGATCTCACAGGGACTACCGTACACGTTGTGCGAGTCCGCCGCTTTCAAGGACCTCATTCGCGCTGCTACTGGAAACCCTGCGTTTCAAGTCCTGGGCCGCGACAGGCACGACCGTCTACTAAATGGCCACTTTCAGCTATTTTGCGAATTGGTAGGTGAATTGCTGTCCACTGAGTACGAGAAAGCTTGTAATATGAAGTTTCTCAATCTCATTCACGATATATGGACAAGTTGTGGAAAGGATAGCATCGTAGGTGCATCTGTCGCCTTTATTGACAGTTTGTGGAGATTCCGCTTTATTGCGGTCCTCGCCTGCGTGAAGAATGACGGCCACAATGCCCCGGCCGTCGCTAAGGTCATCGAGAGTGCGTTTAAATCACGGTTCAATCTGGATATTCGCTCATTGACTCGATACACCATGTCGGACACGACTCCATCAGCGAAGAACGTCGCTGATCACATCGACACTGAGCAAGAAAATTGCTCTATGCACTTGTTAAACCTGTGTATTGGATACGGTATCGGCCTCAAAGACAATATTCAGACGACGACTGTCTGGAACGAATCTACAGGATCTTGGGACAAAATAGTTACTACGGTAACCCCCGGAGGTGCTCTGTACGAAGGCGGGGACGTGATTCACAAGCTTCGCAACCTGAACAACCACTTCCGGTCGCCAAAAAGCGCAATGCATTGAAGAAGATCCAGAAGGCCCTCTCATACCCAGAACTGAAGCCGATGACGGACCAAGACGTCCGCGTTGCATACACATGCAAACTTATTAGAAGGTCTGTCGTCAATTATGCAGCTTTTGATGCTTACTTCCAGTCTACGAAGGATTCTACTAGCTCATGGAGCGCTCTAACTGCTAAGGATTGGATGCTTGCTGTCGAAATGGAGGCAGCCACCAATTTCATAGCCAATCTTGCTCTGGTAGAGGTGCAGAGCGAGAACCTTGTGTCGTCGTACATGGTTGTGTTTCGGCGGCTTGCAGAGAACAAGTTAGAGGCATTCAAATTTGAATCCATGGCTATTGAGGCTCCTGGAGCCAAGGATGCTAGCGAAGCGAGTCGTCGTCGAGCGACGAGGACGAGAGACCAGTTCTCGGACGCTGGTAAGACATGTCTCCGAAGAACTCTCATGCAGCTGCAGGCTCGTTTTCCCAAGGTAATTACGGAGTCGATGGCATGTGTTCTGCTGGATCCTAGGACAAAGTCCAGTGCGAAGAAGATTGCCGCCGTCGGTAATATTCCACGCAAGGAGGAAAAAGCTATCTACAAGAATGGTGTTGACTTTATTCGTGTCGAGCATAGAAAAGTGTTTGCTCAGATGACCAAACAGGGAAAGATCTCTCTCTTGCAGCCGTCGCGGTCCCAAAGTAGTCTATTGAGCCAAGACTCATCGCCTTTTTCATCGCCCTCATCAACGGGCTGGGATGACGCAGATGAACTCTTACTAGGAGCACCTATTCGGGCTACAAAGACAAGAGACGAGCTAAAGGAGACGGAGATCAATGCCAGAGCCGACGCTGTACTGCGAGAGTGGATTGATTTAGAACCAGAGTGGCTCGAGGTCGCCCAACGCCAGAGCCCCAAGATCAAGATTGAGGACTTGTCGAAGGACATGTCGATTGACGCACAGAGCGGGATGCACTACGCTCTGTTGGGCCTCTACAAACATATAGATGTGTAAAAGTGGTTTCGAGATGAAGGTGAAGCTCAGTTCCCCTCTATTGCGCTACTGGCGCGTATCCATCTTGGCAAAATCTCGTCTTCAGCGTTCCAAGAGAGGGTGTTTTCAACTGGAGGGATAGTTATGGGACCTCTAAGGACAAGAACGGATAGCAGGCGAGCGGAGAGGCAGCTGCTACTGCGGCACAATAGGGATGAAATCATGAAGATGAAGCTGGACGCTCGCAAGTCGAACGAATCGTAAGTCAGAAATAGTAGTAGTCAAAATAGTATACTAATATGACTACTACTACTACCACTTTGTAGAAGCGCTACTATTTCTAATATGTATCCTTTCGTGGAGACCCAATTGTCCCGGTAATACTACTACCGGTTTTTTTACGCTACTACTAATCCCTGGTTATAATAGCAATAGTGGAGTGGATATCATGAGACTGCAAAACTACAAAATAGCACCAGAGGGTGCAGTATCTTGTATTTTGAGAAAGTACTCTCATATTACTATCGACTCTTACTACGGTCTATTCTCGAGCTGTCAAAACTACGATAATGCAGTGGTGCTGATTGGCCGATCAGGCTAGAGATGGTAGTTTTATATGTAATTAAACCAGAATGCCCTGGTAGCAGACGTCATACTGAGGGATTTTAATATACATCGACTGCCATTTGGTAATGGCAGTAAATCTGAAAGGACAAAATGGCTGCAGCTCACAATAATCGTGTGCTTTAAAAAAACTCTTGTAGCTCTTCACTGACTACCAGTATGCCGCTTCGATTGTTGAAGGCCCCACCCACGTTTTGCGATTTATAAACCCAAAAAGTAGTATGTATCTGATATTTGGTGATATTGAGGAACAAGCGTACTTCACTACCAAGTACTTACAATTCATCACTATGCTCGATTTTAAAATGAGAGTATTTATCCAAAATACATGATACTATCCCCCCTCTGTTGCCGACACCTCCAATTTTGGAGATTTTTGCAGTCTCACGATATCCACTCTACCATTAATATTAACACGTACAGTATTACTACTACTATTACTAAAAACATGTCCAGAATCATTGTTATTAATAGGACACGACGAAGTATTCGCGATTTTTTTCAGTTATTTGGATACCAGTATCCCATAAAAGGTTTCCGGTAGTATTTCAAGTATTACCCGATATTAGCTAACCTTCACGCTACTACCACCCTCTGGTCGGCAGGAGATCTATCACCCTGCCTAAACCGAAATTAGACCCTCCTGCGCGTTAATCGATTAGGGCCGAGCGGCACTTAGTCATACCTAGTATGGTATGATACCACTGATACATGTAGTTTGTCCGGTTCGCGTGCTACGACAGGCATGGATTCGTTGTGCCGAATCACCACCCCCTACCGGTTCATACATACTACTTCTTTTTTAACAAGTAAATCGGGGAGGTTTGTATTAATATATGTAAGCCGGTCAAATTGTACTGGGGGCGTACAGTATAGAACTGTAGTTGCTGGAGCTATTTTTGGTCTGGAGCTATTTGGCGGTGGCTTCAGCAAATACCTCCAGTCCCATAAATTTTAAGTGTAGTAGGCTAGGAGCATCGCCCGGAGCGAGAAAAGAAACTACGGTACTCGTCACAAACTTTCAAAGGTCTGGCATTCATCGCAAAAATGCAGCTAGACGTCAAGCTAACCCAGTTGGTCGTCTTGGTGGCGGCTCTGCTAGCGATTGACATGGACATCGGCGAGGTGCTCTATCATCTAGCACGATTTCTATGTATGCGATCCATCAACGATCGTGTTCCAGTCCACCCCAAAGAGTTCTGCTTGGCCGATTTCAACCCCGCTTTATGCCGGCGTCGGTTCCGATTCTTCGCGCGCGAGATAGAGGAGATAGAATAGGCTTGCGACTACCGCCTACGATCTCAGCCCAATATGTCCCAGCCCCCCCCCCCTCCCGCCAAGAAGCGATCCGTATGCTTCTTAGGCGCCTAGCTTTTCCAAGTCGGCACGGCGGAGTTCGGTCGAAGCCCCGAGGTTATTTCGTTCAGGGCGAACACCATCGCGTCAATGATCTACGATAAGATCAAGGACAAGATGGTGTTTGATCATCGCATGATAGAACGGCTCAAGCAGAGCTCGACGAACGCGATCTTTACAAATGTTGGTCGCCTCCGGAACGGTTTTGGAATAATCGATGGCACTGTTCGCCGTATCTGTCGTCCCATTCGACATCAGGAGCAAGCGTACAGCGGACACAAGAAGATGCACGCTATCAAGTTACAAAGCATTTTCAGGGCGAATGGTTTAAATATTTCGCTTTACGGTCCAGTCGAAGGGCATCGCCATGATGGCTATATGCTTCGTCCTAGCGAAATGGTGGCAGAAATGGAAAAGTATCTAGGATTTTTGCTTTATGGGGACCAGGATTAACCCTTACGATCTTGGCTGATCGTCCCGTACGCTGGAGCAGTTTTTTGACCAGCGCCCAGACTCGATTCGGCTTTGACTTGAGTGAGGCGCGCATTGCGATCGAGTGGGGGGGGGTTGGTTGGATTGTGCGCTATTGAAATATTTTACACTTCCAAACAATATGAAGGTGCTCAAGCCCTCAGTAGGATTGCTGTATATTGCTACGATATTTCTGATCAACGGTCTATCCTGTGTCCGGCGACGAAATCAGTCTAGCAAATATTCTCGGTGTAGTCTACCGACTCTTCAGTGCTATCTAGCTGACTTAAGCCACGATGTAGTGGAAGAAGCTGTCTACCCATCAGATGAGGAGGCTGACTTTTCTGAAGACGAGTCCAATATATCGAGTGATTCTGACAGCGACTCAAACCGCAGTGAAGACAGCGATATTGAAAGCGGTGATGATAGCGAGTTTGACAATTGAGTAATTGTTTTGTTAACCCCCCCCGCGCACTTACGGCTTTTTTCGCCCCCTGTACACGACTCCACATGTTGTATATACAGCATGTTAAAAATAGGCTAAACTTGAATTTTGTATTGACCTCCGTAAGTACGAATACATTTTTCTGCACTGCGGGAAGATCACACGCTCGGTGATACATTGATTGCGAGCTTCTTCGCAGCGCTACGTATCCACATGTTGTCTAAGACACCTACGCTGCGCCAACAAACCTGAAGAAGACGTATATCCAACATATTAGAAGTGTCCCTTTTACAGGGCTCGAACATGCCATGTACGAAGTGCAATGGCTATGCGTACAGTCATCAATGATTGCAACACATTTATATAAAAGCAGGTTAGGTATTCATCGACAAGCCCACTCTTACTCGCTATCGTCCTCTCCAGCACATCCCTCCCCACCACTTCTCTCTTCAGCGCCGCCATCAGTGTCAGAACCAGCGCCCCCCCTCCACAGTACCGCAGCCAGCGCCTCCCTCCTCCGCGCCGCCGCCTTCTTCCCTATTACTAGCGGCGCGTCGGCGCTTCTTTGCCGGGCTGCGCATCTGGATTCCACGACCAACACGAGGGTGAGGCCTTTCCTCTCCGCTCTTCCACATGACATGCCAGATTTGGTGGCATGTCATGGTGTTGCCTGGGTAGTGGCCCGGCCGGACTCGGTCACAGAGGTAGACGTTGTGCAAGACGAAGCACAATTAGTCAAAGTCCGATTGCATAAGCCACTGTCACACTTACTACTTGTTGCCGTCGCTGCATGCCTCGCAATTGAACCGTGTTGCACTGCGCTGGCCGACCTTCTGCTTGCGAATCGAGCAGAGCCTTGCACTGGTGCTGTGGCCTCTTCCGAACACTCCCGGAT